AAAAAGAAGACATTTCAGGCTTCCCAGGTGGGAGCTGGATGAATTTTTGGAGCTCTGGGGGCATCCGGCGGCTCCACGCTCCCATTTTTTTTGCCTATTGATGTGCAAATCCCTAAAATAAAAAAAAAATAATTAATAAAATTCCCGTGACCCCCAAGCTTGACCCACAAATCATGAAAAAAAAGGGATTTTCTGTTAAAATAACAATGGTAAAGTAGTTAAAAACCCCCTCACCTGTGCTAAAACCGTCCTGTCTCTCTGCGCCGCCGATGTTCTCCTTTCCCGTCCCAGCTCTGCTGCCATATCGTGGTTTTTGCTTCACAAAAAAGACAATTTTGGTAAAATCCTTGGTTTTTTCCCCACTTGAAAAATACTTTTTTTGGCATATTTATCCTTCCCTCTCTTAATCCAGCACATTATCACCCAATTAAACTTTTTTTTTTCCTTTTCTGTCTTTTTTTGCCCCAAATAAATATAACGTCCCCATCAGCCTCAGCCCGGTGGGAATTTCGGGAATCGATGGAATCCCGTTAAAAACCCTTGTGTAATGTTAACGCTTTGTTTTTTTAAAAGGGTTATAAGCTTAAAAAAAAAAAAATCAATCTTTTTGGGAAAATTTCGACAGTTTCGATCAGCAGAAATCTCCTGATTCGTTATGGGGAACGAAATTCCCTCTCTGGGTTGAAAATTAACCCTGGGAGCGCCCTTTCCCCAGCTAAAAAATCAGGAAATTGGAGCGAGGCTGGAGAAATTTGCTGTAAAATCCATTAAAAAAGACCCGCGTCAGAAAGTGAAACTGGTTTTAGGCTGGTTTGGGCCATTTTTCTACCAAAAAAACCCCAAAAATCTTGACCGGTGGCAGCGCCGGCATGAAGAGATGTTTCTGACCGCCGTGAAAATGTGTTAATTGAACCAAAATTCCCGTTTTTAGCAGGAAAATGGGCTGGGAGGGCAGCGTTCCCTGCTTCTGCAGGGATCATGGGGTCTGTAGGCACTGGTGGTGGAGACTGGGGGGTACTGGAAGCACTGGGAGGGAACCAGCAACACAGACTGGGTGTTACTGGGAGGGAACCAGTAACACAGACTGGGGGTTACTGGGAGCACTGGGAGGGAACCAGCAACACAGACTGGGGGTTACTGGGAAGGCGTTGGAAGCTCTGGCACAGAAGAGGGTACTGGGAACACTGGAAGCACGGGGCTGGGAGGTATTCGGAAGGCACTGGGAGGCTACTGGGGGTACTGGGCAAACACTGGGAGGGCACTGGGGCAGGGAGACAGCCCAGCCCCAGCACTGGGGG